AAGTTTATAGTTGTAAGGAGCCTGAGAAACTATCTAGTCCAATTCCCTAATTTTACAGATGAGGAAATGGAAATTGAGGCTTAAGAGTACATAAGTGATTTATTTGTAGGAGGTCAAATATTAGGGACTCTAGTTTAGTGGAGGTAGGTAGACCCTAGTCCTTAAGTTTCCTGAATCCCATTCCAGAGTATAGTACTATACTGTGAAATAGTACTGTCTAGTAAAGTACTTTGAATGTTGGTTTTTTTTTTTTAAGGCAGTTGGGGTTAAATGACTTGCCCAGGGTCACACAGCTAGTAAGTGTCAAGTGTTTGGTCTGAAGCTAGATTTGATCTCAGGTCCTCCTGACTTCAGGGCTGGTGCTCTATCCACTGCACCACCTAGCTGCCCCAATACTTTGAATGTTTTAAGAAAGTTAAGGGACTAATAAAGGGCAAATGAATATGCTATACATTATAATTTATTTTAGTATGATGTAGTTATAGTATATGCTATAGTTGTATTTTACACTCTTGTGTAGACATATCATCACATCTACTTGTAAGTCTTTTGAGGGGGTGACACTTAAAATTGCATTTTGGGAAGCATGATGATAAAACTTAAGTAGCCATAGGTTTCAGTACCTTGGAAAGGGGAATTTCCCCATTTACTGATTTCTGCAGTACTCTCAGTTGCCTTGAGGTGGGGGGAGATGTGTGAGTAGCTCTATGAACCAGGAATGGCAGCAATCCTATTTATCTTAGACGTACAGCTATGGAATATTTAAAACTGTTATGAAACCATTTTTTTTTTCACTAATCTCTACAGTGTTGAAGATAGTACCAAATAAAATCCTAGTCCAATATTGAATACATAACTATTAATATTATTTCTCTCATCCCCTCATAAGTCCTTCTATTGCTCCCAGGTGGATCCAGAAGGGCATTTATTTGTTAATTCACTGTCTTACGGTTTTTTTCCCCCTTAGTCCCTCATTCTTATTTCTAATTGTTGGTGCCTTAATTCTCCCTCTAGTCTGAAATATTACTTAGCTTCAAGTTTGCAATTAAATCTCATTTGACTTTCTCACCAATTGCTTATTTTCTGAGAAGGCTTTTTTTTTTTTTTTTAAGACATACTCCCTGGGTTTGAATCCTGATTCTGCCATTTAATTCCCCTGTGACAGTAGGCAAGTCATTTAATTTCCCTGGACTTCATTTTTCTAATACGTAAAATAAGAGGTTCAGTCTCTAAAGATCTTTCCAGTTCTAAACCATGATTCCCCAACTGAAAACAGTCTCTCCTTCCTCATGTTTACTTTGAGTACTTTTTCTGTATTTTGTTTCTTTTCCAAAGTACCTTGTGAACTCAGTAAGCATTTATTAAGTGCTTATTATGTGCCAGGCATTTTACTAAGCATGGGGGATACAAAAAAAGCCCCCCCCCAAAAGTCAGTCCCTGTTCCCAAGGAGTTCACAGTATAATGGAGAAGACAACATGAAAACAACTATGTGCAAACAAAATATATGCAAGATAAGTTGAGGATAGTCTTAGAGGGAAGGCACTAAGACTAAGGGGGCCTAAGAAAAACTTCTTGCAGAAAGTAGAACTTTAGCTGAGACTTGAAATAAGCAAAGGAAACCAGGAAATGGAGATTAGAAGGGAGAAAATTCCAGCCATGGGGAACAGCCAGTGAAAACACTTAAAATCAGGAGATTGAGTGTCATGTTTGAAGAATAGCAAGGAGGCTGGTGTCACTGGATCAGTCTATATGGAGGGGTATAAGATGTAAGAATACTTAAAAGGTAGGTTTGGAAGAGCTTTAAAAGTCAGAGGAATTTCTATTTGATCCAGTTGACAGTAGTGAACCACTGGAATTTATTGAATAGGGTGATGCTGTGGTTTAGGAAGATCAATTTGACCGCTAAGTGAAGAGACTTGAATCAGAGAGACTAACCAAAAGGCTGTTTCTCGGGTCCAGATGTGAGGCAATGAGGACCCGCACCCGGGTGGTGACAGTAAGAGAAGAGGATAGTTGGAGAGATGTTATAAAGGTAGAAATTTGACAATTGATTGGTTAATAAGGGATGAGGGAGACTGAGGAGTTGAGATTGAGGAGAGGAAGGTTTGGGAGGAAAAATAATGAATACTATTTTGGACATGTTGTTTAAGGTGTCAAAGGGACGCATAATTTGAGATTTCTAATAAGGAGTTGGAGATTTGATTCCGGAGATAAGGAGAGAGGTTAGGCACAGGGGTGGGGAACCTTTTATTAAGGGGATTTGTTATGTAAAGTTTGGATTCAGTCAGAGGGCCACACTTGAGGACCTAGAGGGCCACGTGTGGCCTTGAGGCTGCAGGTTCCCCACTCCTGGGTTAGGGCTAAATAAGTAGATCTGAGCATCATTAACCTGAAAGTAATTGAACTCATGTGAGCCGATGGGATAGATCCCTAAGTGAAATAATGTAGAGGGAGAAAAGAAGAGAGCCTGGGACAGAGCTCTGGTGATTCCTCACCATAAGCAGGTGTGACCTGAATAAGATCCAGTAAAGTAGACTGAGAAGGATCAATTTTGTATCACTCCCAGCATCTAGAACAGCGTATTTTGCATCATCTACTACACTCTCTTCGTTACATCATCAGATTTTACAGATTTAACTATCATCTCTTTGGAAATGACACATCTGTGGCTCTACCCTAAGTCATCTTGAACTCAACATAGGCAAAAATGAACTTAATCTTTTTCCACAAACTTTGTAATCTTCCTTATTTTTATTGAAGATGCTACCATCCTTTAGTCTTCCAAATTTTTAAGCACCTCTTTAGATTCAACTCCTCACTATCCCTCATATCTGACTAGTTGTCATAACTGATTAGTTGTCAATCTTGCCTTTTCTACATTTTCATTATCTCTCCTATCTGACCCCTTCTCTCCACTCATACAGCTGGCATCTTAGTTCAGACTCTCTCACCTAGATTAAAAAAAATTTTTTTTCATTTAACCAATATTTATTTTCTATCCCTCTCCTGTCTCTCTCCATTCTCTGGGGGCAGAGGAGAGGAGAGCAAAAGAAAACTCTTGTAAACAAACATGCAGTTAAGCAAAACAAATTCCCACATTGGCCATGTTAAAAAAAAATGTCTCATTTTATATATTTAATTTGCCACCTCTCTTTTAGCATATGGGTAGTGCTTTTTATCACTGATCCTCTGTAATCATGGCTGCTCACTCCCTACATTGATCAGAGTTCAGAGTTATTTGTTTTCATGATGTTATTGTTATAATATAAATTTTCTCCTGATTCTGTCCACTTTACCCTGAATCCATTCATGTAAATCTTTTCAAATTCCTCTGAAATCATCACCTTCGTCATTTCTTACAATGCAACATATGCTTTATATTCATATACTATAATTTCTATAGACATTTACCAGTTAAAGAACACGTCCTTTGTTTCTAGTTCTTTGCCTCCACAAAAAAAGCTGTTATAAATGCTTTGGTACGTATGGATTCTTTTCTTCTTTCTATGATCCATTTGAATTATAGGCATAGTAATGGTATCACTCAATCAAAGGATTTAAATATCATTTGGGCCATAGTTTCAAATTTCTTTCCAGAATGTCTGGTAGCTTCATTAGCATAGCATTAATGTGCCTTTTTTCCCCCCCGAAGACCTTCCAACGTTTGCCATATCTCTTTTGTCAGCTTTGCCAATCTGATGCATGTGGTGGAATCTCAGGTTTGCAATTCTTTAATATAATTTGCAACGTTTTTTCATATAGCTATTGGTAGTTTGAATTTCTTCCCTTGAGAACTTCCTTTTCATATTCTTTCACCTTTTATCAACTGGGGAATGGCTCTTATTATTATAAATTTGAATCAGTCTCTTATATATCTTGAAATTGAGACCTTTATCAGAGAAACTTGTTGCAAAGATTTTTCCCCCTCTTAACTATTTCCTTTCCAATCTTAACAGTTATTCTTTTTGTGTGTGCAAAATCTTTTAAATTTTATATAACTTCATTTGTCCATTTTATCTTCTGATCCTTACTATCCCTTGTTTGGTCATGAACTCTTCCCCATTCATAGATCTGAAAGATAATTTCTTTCTTCATCCTTCAATTTGTTTATGATGTGATCTTTTATATTAGAGTCATATATGTATTTGGAGCTTATCCTGATGTATGATGTGAAGTGTTTGTCTAAATCTAATTTCTACCAGACTGCTTTCCAGTTTTCCCAGCAGTTTTTGTTAAAGAGTAAGTCCTTACCCCACTATAATTGGAATCTTTGTGTTTATAGAGCTTTAGGCTTCTAGATTTTTTTTGCTTCTGTTCATGTAGATGTTTTTATATTGTCTCTCTCATTAGACTGTGGGTATCTTGAGAGCAGACACTAGGTTTTTTTTTTTCTTTCTTTGTATCCCCAGCATGTAGCACAGTGCACGATGCTTAGTAGGTACCCAATGAATGCTTGTTGACTAACTGACTAGAGACAAGGGATTTGCAGCTTTCAAGTTAGGGAGATAACACTTCTGTGCAAATAGAGTATCAGTTATAATGTAGTAATATAGAATCATAAACTTATGGCTGGAAGACACCATTAAGGTCTTATATTTCAACCTCCCGCATTTTGTATATGAGGAAACTGAGCATTAGAGGGGTTCAGTGACCTGCCCAAGGTCACATTGCAGAGAAGAGGAGCCTATGGTTTCCTCTTGAGGAGTAGAGCCTGATCTGATGACAGTCTTAGTAACTAGTTCTTCCCACCTGAGATAAAGGTAATTCCATTGAGAGGGCTATAAGGAAAAGGATTTCTATTTACTGTGTAAACTGTATTATAATGAGATTTTATTGCATTGGTCTTAGGGTTGTTGATGTGTGGCCTAATTACCTTACTTTCAAGCATTTACATGTTTTTTTGCTATCCATAATAAAATAATTATTTTTAATATTGCCAATAGAGTCAATTCTTAAGGGTGATTTGAACTTAAGGTGTTTTTCTTTCCCTCTATTTTAGGAATATTTTAGTGGATAAGCCAAATGACCAATCTTCACGATGGTCTTCAGAGAGCAATTACCCTCCCCAGGTAAGAATCTGATTTTGCTTTATAGGTATAGGATGGTGTTCAGTAGTCATAAGTCAGGATTAATTTAGCACCATCATCTCTTGAAACTAGCTGGGTCAGTTGACACCTAGATTTTGTTGCTTCTTTTGTAAGTTTTTCCAGACTTCTTCACAGAATACTAATTAAATTTCCCCTGTTCTTAAATGTCGGAAAAGTTTTCTTGTAGTTTGATGGAAATTAACTTGCAGTACTTTTTAGAATCCTCTTTGCTTTCTCTGGATCAGTAATGGAAATACTGATTTTTACATAGGACACTCATTTCTTCACACGCTTTAGGAAATTTAGTTGATGTATATTTTTAGTTGATAAATATTAAACTTAGTTATGTATATTAAATCTTAGCCTCTCTGAAGTGTAAGAGCATTTATTGGGGCAGAAGTTTTGATTTTGTCTTATCTTGATTTTACATATGTTGATTTCCTTTTTTGCCTAATTTAGTCCATCTGTAAACGATAGGAATTGTTAGTAGATTGGAGCTTCATATTGCTGGATTTGAGATGAAGCTGATTCTGTGGGACTGCTTTGTAGTGAGAAACAAATATTTATAGTAAGTTCTTTTGGGTATTTGATTAACTTAACTTGGATGATTTTAGGACCTTGTACTTTTCTCCTGACAGAAAAGATCCAAAGTTGTCTGCTATTACTGAATTCAGTGCAATAGGAAATAATGTTAATAGTGAATTTTAGAGAAGTTGTAGTGTAATTGGTCGTCTTGTTCTTTTTGTGATATATAGCTTTTCCTGGCTTGTTTGTATTAAATGGTAGGCTTTTTGCACATATTTTATTTTTCTTGTCTTAATTTTCCATTTTACTTTAGTTGCTTATCTAGCGAGTTTGCCTCTTTCTCATCTTAATTGAAAAAAAAGTTGTCCTTACTGTTAGAAATTCTTCACTGTGATATTAAAATTTTATATTTAGTCATATTCTGAAGAACAAATAGATTTTATAATTTTCTTTTAATTCAAACTTTTGAATTCTTAATTCAATGGTAGTCATTAAACATTAGATCTTTCCTGCCTTTGTATTGTTGTAGTGGAATAACTTTGTTTTAACATTGTTTGATTTTATATATAGTAACACCTCTGTAGTCTAGAACAAGAATTCTTAACCTGGAATCCATGAACTTTAAAAAAATATATTTTTATAATTGTACTTTTATGTAACTAGTTTTCTTTGTAATCCAGTGTGTTTTATGCATTTAAAAAGCATCATTCGGAGGAAGGGTTCACAGACTTCACCACACTACTAAAGGGGCCCATGACATAACTCCTAGAACTTCTGATGTAGAATCAAAAAGAAACTCTTCTGTATTAGTTTCCCTTCTGCCTCCGTGTGCAGAGGGGAAGAAGGGTGGGGAAGCTTCTCTGCAGCCAAAATGTAGGTTACAAAATCTGTGAACAAGTACATGCACATAAATCATAGTAAGCCTTTCCGGATCTCATTGCATCTATTTTACATGTAATTCTAACACACTTTTATTATCATCTCCTTTCCTAGTTCCCAACAGTGTAGAAGTGTTCTGTATATGGAGAGAGAAGATCAGGGAGTTGTTAAGAGGCAAACAACTCTTCCTGGAAGAGGAAAATAGCAGTTGGATATGCTGAAAATAGAAAGAAATGGGAATTAAAAAAAAAAAAACAGAAATAATTCAAAGGTTATAGTAGTTTGGGATATTTAGTATAAGGACAAAAGACCTTCCATATTTAAAAAATGATTTATTATATTTTCACACAGTAATTACAGCATATACTGTTCATAGTGATGAACATGAACAGTGAAATTATCATCTCTTAATTCTTTTACTAAAACCTGAGTTTTCTTAAGTGGAAGAAACTCCCCTTGTATTAATATATTTAAGGAAAATTTCCACCCAAAATTTCTAGAAAGGAGAGGATGCCACATGCTTGGAAAAAATAGGCTCTGTTACTACTCCCCAAAAAACACAAAAAAAAAGGTAAAGAAAACACTAGTAACTATTGACTCATATGCCTACTTTGCCTTCTGTATAAAATATTGATGAGAATTAACTATGCATCACATAGTTTATAAGACATAAACTTGATACATACCCATATATCAAGGGTATTTTATTGATGCTTTTTACTAAAGTTGGAAAAGTGAATTGGCAGACTTTTGCAAAAGATATTCTATAGCAGACCACATTATTACAGTTACACAATTGACTAAAAGGTATAGAGAATACAGTTTCTCAGGATTCTTACCAGTTTTCTGTAAAAAAAGAATTTGATTTACTGAAGCAAAATATCACTTTAAAGCCTCTCCTCCAATGTTTCCCTTGCATATGTCAAAGTAATACACAGTTCCTTTAAGAATATAACAACATCAGCATTGTTCAACCACCTTTGTATTAATATTAATTTAATCATAGAGAGCTATCTTCACCAAAGATATTTGCCACTAACATGGAATGTGTTCTGTTCAGAGGCTAGGTGGAAGGGAGCTTAATTCCCTTTGAATGATGAGTTCTTTCAGATGATCTGTTTGTGGATAATGTTATACTGAATTCATTGAACTCAAACGTTGTAAAGCTTCCTAAGTGAATTCCATAATCACTTACCTGTTTGGATTAATTATCCATACTTGAAAAATCTCTTGTTTTCCAGACTATCATATGCAATTGAATGAATAACTTAGAGGACTGGCTTGTCAAAACCTCTTTGTTGAACAGACCCTATGGATGAACAATGAAGGGGCTTCCAATTGAAAAGGAAGAGAGTGAGCAAGCTGTCTTGCCTTTGGAAATTGTTCAAAGCTTTTTAATGGGCTTATGTTTCTCTGTGAAACAGATGCCTCATTTTTTCATACCAACATTATTTCAAGTGATGCTGTATGGTTGAAGTTTTGGAACTACCATATTTTGTAAAGAATTAAAGTTGTGGATCACCAAAGGGCAGAGGGAGGAGGGTGTTGTGTGGTGAATGTGCATAAGCTGCAACATCTTCCCAACAAAGAATTACTCAGGAGAAACCATGTAAAGGATATCATCAGAAGGATCTATAATTGGTAAGTTATGTGAGTTTGTCATATAGCAGGAGAGGATTAGGTGGAGTGCTTCATTAATAACTGCATAATGTCAAGAAATCCAGAGGAAGAGGTGTAAGAGTAAAGTTGGGTGGTTTCCCTGTGGAGAGTTATGGGCAGGGCTTGTACAGGGTGAGGAGAAGTGAATGGATTGCAGTCTGTACCTACGTTGATGAGTGGTTCTGACATAGTTCCTAGATGTATCAAAGTATACATCAAAAATAGATCCTGTAAAGGGAGGTGGCCTTCTGTATTGGAAAGACTGTTCTACTGGATCTTAAGAGACCTGTGTTTGAGTCCATTGCTGCCACTAACTGAGACCATGGGAATGTCACTTCTCTGGGCTTTATTGAGAAGATGAGTTGGTAGTTCTGTAGATAATCTTCAGCTGGCTCATTCAGCTTTAAACTTCCCAATTTTAAAATTTGGTGCTTAAAATGGCCAACTTTGTTCATCTGGAAAAATGACTTTGTGAACATCTTGTTTCATGATGCTGAATAAATGAGGTTTTATTGTATATCTTATTGAGGAAATGAATATTGTTTGTTTTATTCATGGATTCTTGACCATTCTGAGTAGTTGGTGTTGAGAATAGGGGTTTATTTTTTGTTCAAAATAGTTTTTCATCTACGTGACTTATTTTTTTCCTCCTTTAAAATTGATATTCCCCACACTCATACATTTAATGAGAGGAATTTTTTTTCCTGATTATTATTTTCTTTTCCCATGCCAAATACTCCAATAGTAAATATGAAGACTCTCATTTAAATTTCATCTTTTATACCTACCCTATATCTGTTTTATGTTTATATATGTTTATATTGCAAGTATTGAAATAACTGTTAATTCCTCACCTTTGTTATGAAAATTTAGCCTCAATTCATTTGCACACTAAAAAAATATTTATTGATACCTCTTTAAAAAACATCACCAACATTTCTACATATCCTTCTGCCCTGTCCTTTTCCCTTCCCCACCTCATCATGGATTGAATTTTCGCTTCTAACCAAGAAAAATAGTTAAGGAAAAACAGCTGATAGAGGACTCTGTCTGCATCAGCATTCTGGCCCTTTAGACCCTCTCTACTGCGAAGAGGAGGAAGCAATGCTTCATTATCTGTTCTTTGGAACTAAAATTGATTATTATAATTACTCAGAGAGCAACTTACATTTATTTTCTTTTCAATTTAATTATTGTAGTCATTGGATATGTCTTGCTTATGTTCTGAATATTTTACATCTATTTATACAAATTTTGCTATGTTTATCTGAGTTGCTCATATTATTTCTTATTGCACAATAGTATTTTTTTACATTCCTGTAACCTAGTTTGTTCATCAATTTCCCAATTGATAGACACACACTTTACCCAAATTAACTTTAAATCAGTAATTTCACCCTTCCTAAGTAGATGCATTTCATAAAGGCCACATAGCCTAGGAAAACATAATTATCAGATGAACTGGAACATGTTCTTAGGTTAAATAAAATTTGGGACAGGTACAAAAAATTTTTTTGACTATTGTACGCAAGATTTGTTCTAAGTCCCTTATTGTCATTTTGATCTCTTTCTAAGAAAGGTTATTTAAAAGAGGCATACCTTATACCTTTGTTTGTTATTAGTTGCTAGTCTGACAAACCATAGTTTTGTGTATGCTTTAAGTACATAGATTACTTTAGTGATTTGTTCTGTAGATTGTGTGGTATAGTAAATGGAGAAATGGGCTGCTTATTAGGAGACTTGGATTTTTCTTACGCTAGTATAGGCCTCATTTTTCTCATCTGAAAAATGTAGGGGGTTGGTGTATTAGGCCTCTGCTTTAGCATTCATGATTATTTGACCTATGGAATTAAAGACAGATTAATATACATATTTTGTTAGATTACCAGGTACTAAATGTATCTGGTAAATTTTTAGGC